ATTGTGTCAAACTGCAGCGCAATGTCGGCCCAGGCTGTTGCGTTGGCGGGCTGGAAGAGGCGCGTCCACTTGGCGTAGAAGGTGTCGGCCATGTAGATGCCGTCGAGCCACATTTGGTTGGGATACGTGGGCCGTCTTTGCGGCGTTGGTCAGCTTGCCTCTTTTTCCTTCTTTTTTTCTTTTCTGGCTGGCGCAGCGAGCAGACTTGGTGCACACGTGCGGACGTTGGGGCAAGACGTACCTGTGCCAGAACCCGCCCGTCGGCGTCCTCGGGTGCCTGTCCAGCTGGTCTTTGATCTTCCCCGCCGCGATCCTGAACCGCTCCTCGCCCGTCCGCTCGTACCACCAGAGAATGTTGTTGCCGAAGCGGTAGTTGTCGAGGCTGTAGTGCGAGTGGTTGAACCCGTCGATCGTCCCGTCCTCGAGCACGACGGCATACACGTGGCTGCGGTAAAACTCGAGCACCGTCTCGTTCCTGTTGGCGTCGTACACGGCCTCGAACGACGTGTACAGCGTCGCTTCGTCGTAGTGGAACGTCGGCGCAAGCTGGTAGCCGTTGCGGATCATCGAGTCGGTCATCCACTGCGAGTACGGAATCTCCGGGGACGGCGCTGCCGCCGCTGCCGTGGCGAGGAGGGCTAGAGTGCAGGCTTTCATGGTTCGCTTACTGCCCTGGCTATCTGTCTACTTTTTTATTTGCATGCGGTCGAGCAAAGATTCAGGCCGGAGACGCCGGGTGCTTTTATGTACGACGCCTGGATCTCGGACATTGCCTTCCCTCTCGGTCTGAACTTGCCCGGCAGCAAGAGCACGCTTTAAATCGAGCATGTTCTGCTGCATTGCCTTCCTCGAAGAAATCGTTCCATGTGCTCTTCCACATAGAACACGCCGAAAGTGGCAGCTCCTTGCCGAGGATGCGACCCCGCAAGTTCCACCGAGTTGTGGAAAAACATACTCCGGCCCCAGATCAGCGTCCCGCATCATTTAGAGACGCGGGGTTCCGGCCGAACACACCGTCATGTCGGCGGAGGGGCTTTTTGGCGGAGGGGCTTTTTTGCGGAGGCCGAAAGCGCGAGGAGGCCTGTACAACTGGCGCAGCAGAACGCCCCTGTAGGGATTAGCCTGAAGGCCTCCCTAGCTATATGAGAGAAGGATTCACGGGTTGAAGCACCTGTCGAGACCGTGAGAGGTGCGCTTAGAGGGATGACCAGTACCGTGCCATCTGTCATGAAAGATCATCAAATCAGACAGCCTTGGCCAAGAGATGGACGTCAGGCCAGTGCCTTATATACTGTAACACCAACACACGCACTGGACATGGAAATGAACTCGTTCTCCTCTTAACTACACTTTGGGTATTGTAACAACACGCCCACACTCCTGAGCTAATCTATGTCTTTCCTCAGAAAGGGACCTGGCTACTCAAAGTTCCATTGACGACGTGCTGTTGCGACTCATACCGCGCCGCGTGGTACTGATTCGCCCGCTGTCTATACCACTCCTGAACTTCACCAAGGAATCCCTTGTGTCCTTGTTTGAGACACCTGTTGAGCTCTGCTTCTGTCCGAGTACTGCATCTGCACTGCGCGGGCGTCCCACCAAATACCGCCCTTGATGCTGCATCGGGGAATCTGTCGCATGCCAGTCAGTTACTCGTTTACAAAAACTAGGGGCCAGAAAGGGGGAAAATGAAGTAGTAACGTACTTGATGCTGAGTCGCCTCAGATTCCTCCATATCGCCTCGTCGTAGCCCCTTTCCTCCCGCCTCCCAAGCGCCAGTTTCGCGACATTCCAGTCAGCCTCACCGTTGGTACTCTCAAATCGACGCGCTTCCAAGTCCACGCGCCCCTCCCTCTTTTCGAGGGCCGCGATAGTGCACGCCGCACCGTCACGACCGGCACGTCCACAGTGACAGCGCACTGGGTTGATCACGGCGTTTTCATCGTCCAGTGGTAGAGCAACGAAAGACCGCTTGCCGGTTTGCGGATTTTCCGTGAAAAGGACCAGCATAGGCTTGGGCGGCCTGCGGTGGAGCGTGCCTCCGGTGGTGCGCCCGGCAATGGAAACAGTGACAGTGTGCGCATCACTGCCACTTGAGCTCGTGTTAGACTGCGCTGCCACTGAAGCGTTGCTCGACATGCTAAACGTCCGGCTGTGCACCGTTGATATACTTGAATCACGAGCGGGAGAGCGGCCGAGAGGGGGCGACTGGGCATAGGACCAGCCAGGAGGGAAGGCGTTGGACGCCGGTGGACTCCCGGCAAACGGCGAGAGCGTCACACTGGGCTGCCTCGGGGTGGGGGGACTCCCATAGACTGCTGATCCCGAGGCGACGGGTCGACGTGGGATGTTGATAGGGTGGCGCTGAGGCGCACTAGGAGGGTTCCGTTGGACAGCAGGGTTCGGCGAGGGCGGCGAGCGCATCGTGCTGACCCGTGATGAAGCGCCGAAAGGATCTGTTGTTGTGAAGATGTTGTCGACATTGTTTGACGAAAAAGGCAAAGTACCACTCATGGGTGATGCAACGAGGGTTGAAGATCGTGAAGGGACTTCAGTGGGCGCTGATGTGGATGCATCAGCTGCCACGTCAGCGCCAGTCACCAGTCTGCCATCCAGCTGCTTCGGAATCCAGAGTTGAATGCAAGCCTTCTCAACAATGGGGTCCCTCCTTCCAGAAATAATGAAGCTCACCAAAGCGTTAAACCTTTGGAGTGTTAGCGGAGATATCTTTTGGGGCGCACGTGGCGTCTCGAGACATACTGAACGTGCGATGCCCACGTTTTGAATCCCGTCACAGCCTGTTGGAATTTGAGGACGTCCTTGAGGTTCTGGAATGCTAATCTGGCAATCCTTTCGTCTCGTCGTAGAATGACATCCATGCCCCCTATTGGAGAGGGCACAGCATACAGCGGGTTGATGGTGACAGTTGAGATGTCAAAATCAATCGTTTCGGCTGCAGAACAGAGCACGTTAGCAATGCTGCATATCATCAAGGAGTCATGTAGATATCGAGAACATACCCTGGCGGCGCGCTCGTCCTGCAACAGGCTGCTCGACGCCTGTCAGATTAATCCGAAATCGCCTGTTATCTGCTCCCATTCGCCGTAGCAGCTGGAGATTGCGCTGCACGTTGTTGGCTGTCCCGTTAAGAGGCCTAGAAAAATGAGTTCTTGTGTCGTCGCATTAAAGAATGCGGGGTAGACGTACACCTCCAAGACCTCTTCCATCAGTTCGTCCCTCGTCACAACGTCAATCAGCTGCGGTAGCTCTTTTTCAGGCCAAATTTCGAGCATGTCTCTTGTTAGGCTCATGACATCTGGCGCCACAAGTTCTTGCTTCGGCTCGAAACGCTCGCATTGGGATGAAAGGTCCTGCATTTGATGTCAGCACACGTCTGAAGTGAGTTATCCTTGACAACTGACATCTTCCAGTTGTTTGACGTATGACGGCCAATGCGACTCGGGAGCAGGCTGCTTCAACTTGGGGGATTCTCGGATTCGTTGCATCAACCAGACACATTTCAGGAGGTTGATGTACTGCTCGGGGCGCGGTACCCTGTTCTCGACTAACATGCCAGAGACGAAGTCGCGCGTTGAGTTACCGTAGTGTAGAACAAAAGCGTCCGCCATTTCTTCAAGATCTAAACTCATGTCGTCTTCATACTCAAGCTTCTCCTGCATTGCCGCTCGCCTGAAGGCTTCGCTCACGCGTGGTGGAATATCAAGCATGTGAATGTCGCGGACTTCCTGTTGGGCGAGCGCCTGCTCCATGTTGGGGACAAGGATACCGATGAGGCGACGGAGATCAACGTGTACAGCTTGGATCCTGTCTGCTAAGTCCTGATGAACTCGGCAGAGAAGGTCACTGCAAATTGGTCAGTTGGTTCAAAAGCTAAGTGCCTACGGCCTTGACTTACATCTCAAAGGGCTTCAGAACCAGGAGAACTTTGGAGTTGTGAAGCAGCAGCCTCTGACGCAGGCGATCGGCATTCGGCTGTACAAGAACATTCCACTCAATGTTCCGCACAGGACCGCTGCTGAGGCGGTACCGCGTGTTCGTTTCGACCAGCTCGTAACATTCTTGCAGCGTTTTCCGGTAGTCACCGATGATCTCGAGGAGTGATGCCTCGTCCCATCTGACAGGCGTATTGTAGGCGCCCTGCTCGCGAAGTGACTGATTCGCTTGAGCAAGGACTCGACTCAGGATGTTGAGGTTCTCAGCAAGGCCTTTGACATCTCTGCCAAACTCGAAGTATTGTCTTGCTGGTCAGGGGTCAGCATTTGCCCTGAAAACTTATACCATCGCGTTGACTTGGTAGAGTGGGAACATCTAGGGCTAACAGTGAGGGTAGGGATGCGACTACTAAATCGGCCGCGGGCAAGGCACTGCGCGCGGGGCAAACTCAAAATACTGAGATGGCGCGAAGTCGCATTTTCTTGGGATGCATGGCACAAAGGCAACTTACTTGCGTTATGTTCGTCTTGCCAGCCGTACTGGTAAACCTGCCAGGCAAGTCTTCCAAAGTTGATCAAGTCGCCCGCTTGAACGAAACCAGCCATGAAGAGGTGTTGGGCTCCTTTAAGGAGCGACCATGCAGATGGTGTCGTTGGTGATACCGAGGGGATTTCCAGTCGTGTCAGATGCGGCAAGCAAAATGGAGATCAGGAAGGAAGGACCAGGCACAAGAGAGAGAACGAGAGATGGTGGAGGGCTGGTTGTGATTTTCAAGGGAAATGCTTGGACGTGGAGATGTCACACGCGCATACGGGGCGTCGTCATTCTCCCGATCAGCACGATGCGGGTAGGGGTCTATCGGTCTCCAGGGCAGCACTCAGCTGGACTTTGCACGTAGCACAAGGACAAGATGGACGAGGAAAGGCAACGACCAGACCAGGTGTTCGTTCGATCTGCTGGCAGCGCAGCACGTCCAGCCCGTTGGAAGTGAAGCCGGACAGGTCCGTCAAGGAAAGCTTGTGGCTGAGTCGAATAGCCGCGTGCGCCGTTTTCGAAGATGGATGCGAGGCTTAGTCTGTAGGGTCGGTGTGTTTCTCGTCTCGGCCAGAGACAGGCAAAGAGGAGGGAGAGGGTGACAGAGAGAAAGGATGGGGGCCACGCCCGAATGAGGCGAGCGGTCCCTGAGTGCTGGGCGATGCAGGGAGACCACCATCCTGTATTCACCCCAGCCGGGGGAGGGGGGGACGCCGGCCGCGAGGTTCCGTTGGGGGCTGTTTGAACAGATGTGCGGGCTGGAATCCCGGCAAAACCACGCGAAGTGACTACCTAGATAAGTAGCTCATGTAGATGGATGGCAGGCACCTGAGACCAGAGTCCCGGGTCCTGTCGTACTAGTTGCGTGACACCTAACTCTCTCTGTTCCTGGCCGATGAATATCGGTGGAGAACCTGTCCCATGTACGACATGGTGCGGTGATACATGGTACAACCCGCGCCTGGGAAACAGACCATGGCAAGTGACGTGTCATGAATGAGTATGCCAACAACTCTAGGTTGGTCTGGGGAAGAGGGTCATGAGGGAGGCTTAGATGCTGTGAAGCCAAGGTAAGGTCAGAGACAAGAGGGGAGACACGAGACAACTGACGAACGGCGGGCGGCGGGCGGGTTGCGCATGTCCCGCCCGCAGCTTGTTCCAGCGATAAG